ATGGGAGATAATTGGTGGACCAGACAGTGAGCATTTCACTTTTCACAAACATACATGTATAAAATGTGTTTGAGAATTTTTACTAATTTTTCCCCCCTCTTTCTTAGTTGGAAGCATTTTGACGACAAGTATGTCTGCTGGCTACTAATGAAGAGCGATGCCAGAGAGCACAATGACCCAATCTTTGGTGCCTTCCACAAACTCAATCTGGAGGATGCCTCTAAATACATCACTGAAGTGAGAGCAAAACTTCTGATTCAACATAGTATCACCAGTTTCTATTTCCAGTATTCTGTACTGTTCTATTGACATATCATCTACTGTCTATAGAGAATAATCTGAAGAATTAATGTGCTCAATTTTATTATTATTATTTTTTTCACATTTAGGGTGAACGCAAAGGTTCTCTGGCTTTCATTCGTAATTATGACAGTGCCTCTGTCGACTTCAAGAAGAAGCTTGCTTTAGAGTATGCAGACATCATGCCTAATATTATGGCTGACATGTCAGAGTATGATTTTGGCATTGACAATGTTCCAGTCACCTCTGTCATGTAAGTAGTTTGTCAAATGTATTTTAATTTTCCCAACTGAATGCAGTTCCTCTTTGTAAAGTGAAGTATAAATGTTTTATGAGGTTTTGAGAAAAGAGAAAATTTTGAAAATTGCACAAATAACTAGATGGCTCAAATGTGTTGTGATAAATACATGTTGACAACAATTATTTGGTCTTCTTTCTATCTAGGAAGAACACTATTCCATCTGTATCCCTGGATATCCATGAGCAAGACAGGAAGAGCATGCCTAATGACCTCAGTGCCCATCATATACTAGATCAGCATCTGTACAAGAGCAGAAGAGATGTAAGAACTGTCCTGATCACTCAAACCACAATTTTTTAAATTTTTTTTTTACATGGAATATTGTTTCTTTATCAATATTTGGATGTCTTATCACAATACATCTGCCCAGTGGAAAATCTCATCACAATGCCATTCCATCCAAACCAATCCATTTCTCCTGTTTTTGACCAGAACCATGCCACTTACAGCCGCAGTCACTATAACACCTCAGAGAATCCAGATGAAATGCAGGAGATCTTTCAAAGAACCATGAGAAGCCGCCTTGAGTCCTTCAAATCGGCTAAGATGGGTGTTAACCCTGCGAAAAAACTCTCCAAACATCCCAAGAAGGATTCAACACACAAGGTATTAGACCTTCATGTCCTGCTGTCTACATTTAGCAAAAAAAAATCTTTTGAAATAGGGTTCAAAGCAGTGGCGTAGCAAGTCAGTCCCGGGCCCATCTGCAAAAACACTTGTACCACGCTTGCCACCCAATAATCGAAATAGCTTGTGAAAAGTCAGAGCAGTCGAAACATAATATTTACCTCAGAAATGACAAATATATAACGTTGCCAACATTGATTTATTATTTTCATAAATCAGTCAGTTAACCACCACAGACCTTTTTTTTATATTGAATATTATGACACCAAAACACCTCCATATTTTCTAAATTACTTAACGCAAACACACTCTTGGCACAGCGGCCCAAAATGCTTAAAGAAAGAAAGAAAGAGAAAGAAAGAAAGAAAGAAAGAAAGAAAGAAAGAAAGAAAGAAAACTACTTACTCGTTTTAGTTGCAATTAATTTAATTTAATTCTTCATGTATTTTTTGTGTATCTTTAATGCTTCGTGTATTCTCAGTGGAAAGAATGGCTCTCAGTGGAAAGAATGGCTAATTTTATACAATATTTGTATTTCTATTGTGTATTTTTAGCCTAATGGAAAGCCAGCGGACCCACACAGAACCCATCCATATGGAGATGAAGGTATATTTTTATATGCTTATTTAAGTACTGGAAGTATAATTTTAGCATGTATATAAATGTTATTTTGCTTTGTCCATTCAGATTTTGAGTTTTCTGCTGACAGCGCATCTAGCAGTGAAATTGCTGGTCATTTTCCCAGGAGAAGCACAAATGCACCTGGTGGTAAGAATCAAGCTACATACTGAATTCATGTGACATATTAATGTCATGTTGTACATTTGGATCCTTTTCACATTTCTGGGGTTTTATAAAGCGGAAATCGTCAGTGATGAATGGAAACAAATTTAATTTGACATTCCCATTTGTTCCAATAGCAAAATAAAATTTCTATGACTTTACAAAAGAGGAGACTGATTGCATTAGTTGGAAGATTCTTAGAAACAGTCGTGCAGAAGTGTTAACTAGTTTTCTGTTACACAAGTACACTCTTAAAAATAAAGGTGCTTCACGATGCCATAGAAGAACCTTTTTGTCTAAATGGTTCCATAAAGAACCTTTAACATCTGAAGAACCTTTCTGTTTCACAAAAGGTTCTTTGGGGTGAAAGAAGGTTCTTCAGATTATAAAAAGGTAAGAAAGAGATGGGTCTTTAAAGAACCTTTGACTGAATGGTTCTTTGTGGAACCAAAAATGGTTCTTCTATGGCATCGCTGTGAAGCACCTTTTGAAGCACCTTTATTTTTAAGAGTGTATACTGTTGTAAATGTACATAAAAAAAAAAAGAAAATATTAAAAACGTTGCTACATTTGCAGTGTTAATAACTGTGGAAAAGTGCCATCACAGTCTGTGAAAAGGATCCATATAAATTTACATTAAGTGTGCAAGTGTGTAGAAAATATATGCATTATTTTATGGTTGTTTCCATGGTGTCTCAGTTCAGTATCATAATTACTCTAATTACTGCAGCTGGTGTTGATAATCCAGCGTTCATACCCGAGATGGACACTTCTCCACCCATGCGGAACCCACCCTGGCAAACAGAGACAGCAAACAACACGGCTGTGGCAGCTTCCCAGAGAGCTCAGGGTCGACTGCCCTGGACGCCCACCAACCTGAGACATCTAGCGCCGCTGAGAATGAGCACACACTCCACAGACTCCTTCGCGATGGCTGATGCTTCGGTTGACGACGAGGCGCCTGAGGAAAAGCCCGGAACACATCATACTAAATTGTAATCTGATATTGTTCCAGCAATAACCTGCCAAACTTGCGATTAGGTTAATCCTCTGCATTTCATTTTAGGCAGTTATGATGTCATGAGGCCAGAGATTAAGGAATCGTAAGTCGAATCGTATTATTCATCATATATCTTTAAAAATTTATATACACATGCAGCAGTTTCTTGAAGTCACATTGCTATATATACATGCATACATATAAGCAAAGGGAAGAAAATAAATACAAATTTAGTCTCAAAGAGACACTGTCATTGAAGTACTTATGTATAAGGTTATGGAATGCTCTTGAGGGTTTCTTTATAAATCCACATTGTTGTGGAAGCTGTTATGGCACTTTATCACACTGACAGCATGCTAAAAAATAGAAAACATTGAGCTCAAAAGACAAAATCATTATACTCAAACATATTTTGTCTGAGTTAAGAACTGAGAAGCAATTGTCTATCGGTTCTATATTCAGGTACGTTCTTGACCTATCTTGATATTTTCTGACATTGGACATGTCTGTCTATACACATTTTTAAAATCAGCATGCTGTATATGATTATTTATTATTGCATGGTCATTCTGTGGGTGCTTCTTTGTAGTATCACAATATCTGTTTCTGCATTTCTGTAATCTACAATGATTCATTTTTTAGTTTTACTCAAAGCTATTAATGTTTTATTAGTCAATTGAAGTCATTCAAATGTAAGTCATTAAAAATAATAGTTTAACAGTAACTTATTCATGTGTGAATTTTATGCTTTTTGAGAACTGGTGAAATCTAACTTGAAATCAGTGGATAGTGTCTGAAAAAACGTATTATTTGAACCGTAACTCAAAGTTTGAGATGAGTAACACAATTTAAATGGTTACTAATGAGCAAATAAAAAAAAATGCACAAGAGCACAAGAAACAATGATTATCAATCCTTTAAATTTTAAGCCGATTTGAATTCTATAAACATTATATTCCTCTTATAGGAATACATTCTGATATGACTGATATCAAAAGATATCCATTGCGGTAAAGGAAACAAATGCATAGCCTTTAAGTTAAAAATGTTTGAGTAAATGTTCAATGAAGCATTTTTGAAACAAGAAAGTGCAATTCATTATTATGTGTACATTGCAGTAAGCAAGTTGTGTAAATCATTACACAGACAAAATTGTTAAAATCACAGAGCAGGATTTGAACAAACACACAAAACACCCTTAAAACAGAACAATTTTCTATAAACCCCGGACTTATTAACACACAACACAGCATGACATAAAGCAACGCATAACCTATAAGCAACAAACTTTACTTAGAGTTATTGTGTCAATAAACTTTGTAGATTTATATATTTGTGAAAAAGTAATAATACCTTTTTGGGGGGTTAAATTGCCAAACAGTTCACTCTCAAGGGGAAGTTGTGTTGTTTTGCCCTTAGGCTTTCCACTTATTTTTCAGTTCAGTAGGCAGTACAGCTGTCATCTCTGGATCTATGATTAAAGCCGGCACACACACATTGGGTACAAGCCATACCGATCACTTCCTTTTTTTTACGTCACACTCAGACAGGGCCAAGCAAAGTAACAGTTTAACTCCAATGTGTGGAAACTATGTTTTTTAACTGGTGTATACTAAAGCCATCAGAACTCAGTAGTATGATTTCACAAAACAGGAAGGTTAACATGCTTATAAAAACACTAAATAAAGAGAAAAAAAAAGAAGAAAAGAAAATAACCCTCATGTTAACCCAAACCCGTTTGACTTTTCTTCTGTCTAACATAAAAGGAGGTGTTTAGTAGAATGTCCAAGCTGTTCTTTTCCAAACAAAATAAGTGGATGGTGACCAAGAATTAAGAAAGAAAGTCAGGTCAGATTTTGGGGTGAACAATCTCTTACACAATCTCGTAAAATCTCTATGCACTCAACATCTTCTAATACTGTTATAGGTCTATGTGTTTTTCAGTAGAAAGTCTCACAATACAATATACAGTAAACATGGTGTAGTGTCTGGACAGAATATTTGTACCAAAATTTGTCCGGAAAGTCTTCAAAGTAACAATGCAACAGTACAGCCTGTTAAAGTTGGCTGAACACTAACCAGCGTGAAGTGCAAAGGAAAATTTTTAAACAGAAGCAGAAAGAGTAATCATCATAAACGTGACAAAGTAACAACAGTCCAGTGACGTAGATCTCAGCCCCCTTTCTGTGTAACAAATTAAAGGCTGACTAGAAGTTTCAGCACTGCTCTTATTACACTCTTATACTACCCTGATTGAACCACTGCTCTCACCTGAGCCACAAACACAGAGGGTCAACTGATGGAAAGACAGTCAAGTCACTTAAAGAGGGATGAACTTTGAAAATGACCACAGATTTAAAGGACAACTAACTAAAAGGGGAAACTGCAATACTTTGTCTCACCGAGGACTTCAGGACAAGCAAGCAGAACAAAGCACACTGGGAACCTCTAATGGACTATTGTGCGCTTCTGTGAAGGACAGCTATAGTACACACAGACTGGAGATAAGAATGATACTATAAGTGCATCTTTACCACTCATCCGTTGCAATGGCAAGCTCTGTTTATCTCTGCCTGCTGAGGGCAGTTTTCCTGGTGTGTTTTGTTAACCCTTTAATTCAAGGACTAAGTGGAGATGCAAACGTGGTCCAGAATCCTCATCATGAACTGGAAGAGAATCTCACTGGACTCCCAATTGTCACATTTAAATGGCATCATGTTCAGACCCCATACCTGGTGATAATTTGGGTATTTGTGGCTGGATTGGCGAAACTATCAGGTATGTAGCTTGAACTATGAAGTAAAAATTGATTGGCAGTTAACAAATAAGGAATTAAGTTTGTTGTTTAACATATTCAAAGGCTTGTGTACAATATAATGCAGTTTAAGACATCAGTGGTATTCCTCATGAATGAATTTAAAGGTGACATATCATAAAAATCTGAATTTTTTCCAGGTTTATGTGCTATAATCAGGTCCCCGGTTGCATCTATCAACCAAGGAAACGTGAAAAAGATTGAACCCAGTAACTTTGTTTTGGGAAGCCTTTTTCTGCAAGCGTCTGAGAAAACAAGCGCATCAGATTTCGTTCCCTTGGTGACGTGGCAAAGGGATCTCATTATAATATTACCGCCCCTTAATCTGTAAGTTTCCACCCACGGCGCCATCATTTTGATTTCGCAAGTGACAACGGTGTACCTGCTCTAATGCCATGGCGAACGTTTGAGCAAAACATGCTAACTGTTCTGTCTTTGGCTGCACAGACGAGCACAGAACACTGTTTAGAGTCCCAACCTCAGAGGAGACAAGAGAGCAGTGGATTTATTTACTGTATATTGCTGCCACACAGATCTAATATAAACATGCGATTTATTTCCCAGCTGTTTACCTTCACAGACATAACCGACTGTTTTTTGTAACTCGTGTGTTTTTAATGTAAACTTGTGTGTGAATGAGAACTTAATTTAGTACTCACATGCTGTGACAGCAGCTTTCTGTACGTGTGCTTCGGATGTGTGCTCTCAGAAAACCGTATATCTGAAGTTTAAACTCATATGGTTTAAAACGCATGATTTCAGCGCGATAAACATTATAATCAGAACCAAAACAGATGTTTTTAGCATGTACGAGCTGTAATGGTACAGCTTTATTCTGGAAAAGGGGGCGGGGAGCAGCATCTCATTTGCATTTAAAGAGACAGGCCCGAAAAACAGTGTGTTTCTGCTTCCACTCAAAATAGGCATTTTCAAAATGATATAATAAATGATCTGTGGAGTATTTTGAGCTGAAACTTCACAGACACATTCTGGGGACACCAGAGACATATTACATATTGTAAAAAGGGGCATAATATGTCTCCTTTAAAGTTTGATCTGAAGTTGATGTCATTTTTGAATGAAAGGCTGAATTACAGTTCAGTTCAGTTCAGTTCTGAGAAGGAAGAAGATATCTTTATGATTACCTTGAACTAGGAAGTTTAATAACAATGCTGTGTAACAAATTCAAATTGAGTACAATAGCTGTGGAAGCTCAAAGAATCACATAAAATAATGATAAACATATTGCTACTCATGTAAAGGGATGATAATGTAGCACAAGTCCTGTGATTAGCAGGGTTAGTTTTGGTTTTCTTATCCTGCTTCTTTTATCAGTATAGAGAGATCAGTATCTGTTCTTTCCTCAAGTGTTGTTACTGTTTGGGATGATTTAAAAAATACATATTTTCTGGTTTCATCAGTTTGATGTTAAATACAGTATGGATGCGTCTATAAGAAAGAGGATGAAAACTAGTAAAATAATATGTGCTGTTGTTATTACTAAAAGTTTTAACAAAGTAAAAAAAAAGTAAAAATGAGTAAAAAATAATTACATTTAAACTAATTAACAGCTTTCAAGTACTTGATCCAGTATGATAATCATAAAAGAATCCTGTTCGTTTTACATTTCATTACTGATGCATTTAAAAAAATAAAAATAAATAAAAATCAGAAAATCTACTTGCATTATAACTTTGGTGCACATCATCAGGCAAATGCATGAATGTAAATGTAAATGTATAACTGGCATGTCTTTTTAAAATGCATAACCATTTTGCATGATTTTTGGGCATTGCTCATGACAGTTACATCTTGTGAAAATAAGATTTATAGTTTACAAAACATACTTCTGAGAAGATGCCCCAAATGACATCAAATACCAATCTTAGGGAGCGCCAATGTTAAAACAATCATTAACTTTAATATGCATCATATTAACCTTATCCACAACTTGAACATTATTGGCTACAAAAGTTGCAATCTGTTTTCTCTGTCTCTCCCTCTCTATCCAGTGATTGAACTAAATCATCATGTCACCAGTGTGATCCCAGAGAGTGGTCTGCTCATCATCCTGGGCTTTATTTTGGGAGGAATCGTCTGGGGAGCAGGCAAGGCGCAGACTTTCAAACTGCTTCCTCCCACGTTCTTCTACTACTTGTTGCCCCAGATCATCTTGGATGCCAGTTACTTTATGCCCAACAAGCTATTTTTCAGCAACCTGGGTGCCATTCTCATTTACGCCATCTTCGGAACGTGCTGGAACGCAGCTACAGTGGGCCTCTCGCTCTGGGGCTGCTATGAGGCTGGAGCGATGGGTACATTTATTTATAATAAAAACCTTTATTTTTAAGAATGTAGAGGATACCGAATTAATTAGCCAGTTTCTATAATCATCAGGTAACTTGGACATCGGTCTCCTGCAGTTTCTATTGTTTGGCAGTTTAATCGCCGCGGTGGATCCGGTGGCCGTGATTGCAGTGTTTGAAGAAGTGCATGTGAATGAGGTGCTCTTTATTCTGGTGTTTGGAGAGTCGTTGCTTAATGATGGGGTCACAGTGGTGAGTCTCAATTTCCTCAAATGCTCTAAATGCCATTATGCTCATTAGTATATCTATCCGCTTATGTAATCATCTTTTTGCATCTTTTGTAGGTGCTTTACAATGTATTTGATGCTTTTGTTGCTCTTGGAGGCCCAAAGATTGACGCCGCAGAGATTTTTAAGGGCATATGTATGAATATTCAACTCTACCGCCCATTCATAATGATAAACATAGCAATATTCTTTATTTTTTCACTTTAAACCAACCAGATTGATTTATTTTGCTTTCCACCTCTTAAAGTTTCATTTGTTGTGGTGGCATTTGGAGGCTCGTTTCTTGGCGTTGTGTTTGCCATCCTGCTGTCCCTGCTGACCAGGTGCACCAAACACATTCAGATAATTGAAGCTGGCTTTGTCTTTGTGGTGGGCTACCTGGCTTACCTGACAGCAGAAATGCTCTCACTCTCTGCAATACTTTCGTAAGAGTCTCTTGAACAATGCAACACATATAGAGAATGTACAGTAATACAACACCAGTACTTTAGGAATTTACTCTCAATGCACAATGTTTCTATGCAATTAATTCAGCTCATGGAGAAGAATGCCTTTCTGTGTCACAGAATCACCTTCTGCGGTATATGCTGTCAGAAATATGTGAACGCCAACATGGATGAGAAATCGGTCACTACGGTTCGTCATGCCATGAAGGTGCTTGCAAACGGCTCAGAAACCATGATCTTCGTATTCTTGGGTGTTACAGCCATTGATACAGAGATCTGGGTTTGGAACACAGGTTTCATCCTCCTCACCCTCCTCTTCGTCTTTATATACAGGATCATAGGTGAGTGCAGTTGTGGCCTATTAAAACTTTTTGTAAAAATGTTTTATTGAATATTATTAAATTGATAATCCACTCTAGTAAATACAATTTTTGTCCACAACATTCGATTATATATACTTTTTATAATTACAAAAATCTGTTTATATGTATTTTTCAAGTCTAAATATATTGTAACTTCAAGTCACAATAAAAAATACGCAAATAAAAAATCAAAAGTCAAATGCAAAAGTCGCACAGTGGTAAAAAACATTCAAACATGCAATATAACAGCAAATTCCCATAGCACACTTCACTTTTGCACACCCTTTCTGAATGGTAAAGTTTTGCAGTGCAAACCTTTTTAGTCTGTAATGACACTGCTGCATGCTAGGTAATGGGCCTTGCTAATATATTAATTCTCAATCAACTAAATCATAAACTTGTAATAAAATATTCATAATAATTTGAGTTTTCAGAGAAGCCAAAATCAAAAGTTTAAGAGATCTATGCTCATTGTAACATTCGTTGGTCGTGCTTGACAGTCAAGATCCACTCATTACAAAAAAAGAAAGAAAGAGCAGTGTTTATTTTATTTTTTATTTTTTAATAGAAAAATCATATTGTTCACAAATATTATTTGAAATAATTATGCTTGAGATGTAAAAAAGAATAAAACATTTAAAATCTCCCTCACATTTCAAAGATTTCTCTTTCAAAGAATGCCTCTTGGATGTGTTTTTATGATATGTTTAGGAATGTTTGTTTTATATTTGCAGGAGTTTTCTTGCTCACCTGGATGTTGAACAAGTTTAGACTGGTTCCCATCGAGGTCATTGACCAGGTTGTAATGAGCTACGGTGGCCTGCGGGGGGCAGTGGCGTATGGACTAGCAGCCATGTTAGACGAAGACAAGATCCCAGAGAAGAATCTGATGATTAGTACCACACTCATTGTGGTGTATTTCACTGTCATTCTTCAGGTTAAAACCCTATCACTCTTATCACAATTATGAGACTCTAAATGCTTGGATTATTTTGTACGTCCTACTAACCTGTAGTGAATGTCTTTGTGGTTTCTTTTTAGGGACTAACAATGAAGCCATTAGTTCAGTGGCTCAAGGTCAAAAGAGCAGCGCATTCAGACTTGAAACTTATTGAGAAACTAAACAATAGGGTAACTATTTGACAGTATCCATTTATGTGTTAATTTTAATAGTTATAGAAAAAGTTATATATATGGTGTCTTTATAGGCATTTGACCACATACTAGCAGCAGTGGAGGACATTTGTGGACGTATAGGAGATAACTGGTGGACCAGAGGGTGTGTTTTCCTCAGTTCTGTGGATATACTTAAATATTAATACAAAAAATATATATAAATATATGGACACACATCTCTTCTTTGATCTCTCTCCCAGTTGGAACAGGTTTGAGGAAAATTATATCAGCTGGTTATTGATGAAACCTAAGGCCAGAAGGAACAGAGACTACCTATTTAGTATCTTCCACAAACTTAATCTGGAGGATGCTGTTAACTACGTCAGTGAGGTAAGAGCATAGATTGGTGTTATACATTGCATAATATTGTCATTTGTTTGGTTATCTCAAACTGCATGTGTTTCCTGTAACAACAAAGTTTGCAATAGTTCTGTCATGACAACTCTCAGAGGGATTGGCATGGTAATGTAATGCTGCTGCTGCGGCAGAGCAAGTACCGACTTGCTACTGCCAATACATCCACAACATGCTGCTGTGAGCATGTAAGAAATGCTGCTGCTGCACATATAACATATATGATAACCTCCATAACATAGCCTACATGATCACCCCATAGCAGATCTATACAGGTGGAGCTGGGGAAGGTGGAGCGTTTTCTGAAGTGTGCTGCAACTTTTACCACAAGCATTAGCCAAGCATTTGAATGCTGAGCAGTGAGCTCATTGGCTAAAGATACAGGAGAGAACCGATCAGCTGACATGTGATAATGATGTCATTATGTCATATTGAGTTAGATCTATCGGACTGCGCCATCTAGAGTTTCATGCCAGAACTTTGTATTTTCACATACAATCATAGTGAATATAGTGATTGCAATGCAATCCATGTGCTGCTTGTGTACTATCAACAAAAAAAGCTCATGAGAAATGTATGTAACCTCTTTCTTTCTTCATGTAGGGTGAACGTCAAGGATCTCTGGGCTTCATTCGTAGTGATGAAGCAGCCAATGTAGATTTCAAAAAACAATTTGATTCAGAATTTACAGATGTGATGCCTGATATAATGGTTGATATGTCAAATTACGAGCTTGAAATCGAAAATGTTTCAGTAACCTCCATTGTGTAAGTGAACTGACTGTTTAAATCACATTTAAACACAATTGCGTAATTAATGCATCAGTTGTAATCAATCGTAAAACAGGTATGAGTAATGAAAGAGAGGGATAATTACTGTCTTGACAGAGATTTACATACAAGACTAAGAATCTTTGCCGGAGTTACAAAGCCAAAAGTGCTCAAATTTGACAAATAAATTCCTAAATGGCGAGATGTGGCAATAATGAAAATTGTTTTGTCTCTTGTAAATTAGAAAAGACACTATTCCCTCTGTATCCCTGGACATCCATGGGCATGACAGGAAAAATGCGGTGGACGACATCAATGCCCATCATCTTCTACAGCAGCACCTGTACAGGAGCAGAAAGAATGTATGAATCGCTCTCACAGACATGTATACAGTTTGCATCTCATTTGACCCATAATTTTCTTTCTTTCCGAGCAGCATCGTCACAAATACAGTCGCAGTCACTTCAGCATCAACCAGAGTGAGGACGAGGTGCAGGAGATCTTCCAGAGGACCATGAGGAGCCGCCTCGAGTCCTTCAAATCAGCTAAGATGGGTGTCAACCCTGCCAAAAAAATTACAAAGCACCACAAGAAGGAGCTTACACACAAGGTAAGAGACTTTCATGATGCCTCTTTCACCTGGATTGCTCAATTATAGTGTTGCATCTCTCAATTTATACATATTTTCAGATGGCTAATGGACACCCAGACGGTACAGGCCATCTATATGGAGATGAAGGTAACAATATTTTATATTAGCCTTTTATTAGTATTTATGACACAGAGCAGCTAGCTAAAAAATGTAATTAATTTGAAATAAATATTAATAAAATAAATATATGAAAATAAATAAATACATATTATAATCAATTTAATAATAGTGTAATAAATAAATAGACTTGTATAAGAACATATATAAATAATAGATAGATAGATAGATAGATATTAATAAATAAATGCATATTTTAAAATAACGATAACATATATTACATTTTAAAATAAAATAAAAAAAAAAAAAAATTACATTTTTTAAATAAAAATTGAAAAAATTAATATATATATATATATATATATATATATGCACTGAAATATGAAATAAACTATATAATGAAATAAAAAATACATAAAGATAAAAGTAGTTCAATAATTCATAAGTTATATTTAAATCATAATAAATTATATGTATACATTTATAAATTCATAAATGTATATTTTTTCCAAGTGTATTTGTAATTCAAATGTAATTGGTTTTTCAAGTATTTTCTTTTAAACATAATGAAATAAAAAAATTACATACAAAGTTGTATGTAATGAAAAAAAATTCAACATAAACCTCCTCAACATGATTTCCTTTTGAGTAAATGATCCGTTTCCACTATTTTCCACTATTTATTTATTAAACTTTTCTGCTCTAATTATCATTCTTTGACAAACAGTGTTGGGGAGTAACTAGTTACATATAATGGCATTATGTAATTTAATTACAAAATAAATGTAACTGTAATCTGTTACTTAGGAAAAAAAGTGTAATTAAATTACAGTTACTTATGAAAATGTTAGCGATTACAAAGGGGGTTACATCGGAATATGTTCTGCAAAAAGCTAGGATATGTTGAATAGTATTAATTTGTTGCTTTACCTGTTTTTGATGCGCACAATGCCTCCTGGCATTTAAACACCATTTAGTAAAGTAATGCTATTCTAATGCTTTTTATTGGTTCTCTTATTTGAATTTGCAGCACACCACGTCTGCCAATTACATCAATCCACATTATCGCTGAACACTTTAGGCTGCAACCTGTCTGTCTTTTAAATAGGGTAACTTAAAATCTGTAACCTAATACATTTCCAAAGTAACCCTCCCAAAGCATGCTTTTGTGTTTTTAGTTGACAGTGCTGTGGGGAGTGAGACTGGTGCTATCCGTGGTACTTTCATGAGAGACATGTATACAGTGGGAGGTAAGAAAAGGGTCTGAACAGATGTTGTTTTGTACGTAAAATCTATAGGCCTACAATATAGTTTGCATAAGTACCATATTTGCATAAGTAAGAAGTTGAAGGTTTGTCGATGTTTCTTTCATATCTCATTGAAGCTGGCATAGAGAATCCAGTATTCTTGCCAGATATGGACAGTCCCACTCACAGCAGCCTTCCCTGGCTAATGGAGACTGAGGCTGTCGCACCTTCCCAGAGGGCCCAGCGACGCCTGCCCTGGACACCCAACAGACTGCGGCGTCTTGCACCCATGAGGATCAGCACCTGCTCCACAGACTCCTTCCTGATGGCTGATCTGGAGGAACATGAGGAACAGCCTCAAACAGACCATGAAGAAATGTGAGTTTACACACACTTATCTGAAAAAATTCAGACATTGTTACTGACCATGTGTTTTTATGACTACAGACGACCAATCTTTGACTAGATACTTCAGGGCAATAATGCGGCATGTCACAAAGCACATCCACAGGCATGGAAGCATGCGTCTACAGATTTCAGGCCAAACCTCCAAAAAAAACAAGGTGGAACTGGAGAATTGCTGCAGGAAGTTCCACTGAAATGAAACAGCGTGGACCAAAATCTCATGGATGTTCCCATGGAATCCATTTAGGGCAACATATTAATGTACTATTGAGTGCGCACAGCAGTAGAAAAAGAAAACGAATGCTTTCAAAGTTTTCCAAGTGACACTTCTGCCTTTTCCAAATTTTATATGATTTTTTTAAATGTAAACACCTTGTGAAATGGTTGGTCAAAAAGAGTTTCCTACATGTGCTGACATATTTCCCATTGCAAAAGGAAACTTGGGCTTTAAAATAGCCAGTAACCTTCAGTTTACATCACAGCCATGATGAACATTATTTGCTATGCGCTATCTCTAATCGGTTTTAACTGCTGAACTTTTTTTTGGGTCAACTTTTAGGACTAAACTAGATTATAGATGGTCTCAAATCTAACAGACACTAATTTTGATCTTTAACACTGTGTTGGGGGAAAGATTGAGAATGTGTTTTGTGCAATAATGCTTATGTAATATTATGGAAGCTTGTTTCTGCCACAGAATGAAAAAAAAAAAAAGGGATAGTGATTACTTTTACTCAATACCTATTTTTTTCCCTCAGAATTGCAAGATATAAACATCTTGCAATTCTGACTTTTTGTTCTCAGAATTAGGAGTTTATATCTCACAGTTAAGTCTGTGAGAGTCACAATTACCTTTTTTTATTTTTTATCCCATTGTGGAAACTGCTTCCATATAATGTAGCAAGGGAAAAGCCATGTAGGCTTTTGTAAGATCCAGCTTGTAGTTTCATTTCTCTACAAGGCAGTTTCTTCCCTGTATCGCAATGTGCAACTAAATTAATAAGGAAGGAATTAAGTAAATTTGATATAAAGAGAGTTTTCACTCAGAATTAATTTTAGACTGTATGTGAGTGAATTGAGGTGGTAACTGTTACAAACTATGTTTGTGTATGGAAAAGGTCATATTTTAAATCAGTTGATTGTATCTTTCATTCAAATAATATATTTCTCGGGACATTGCTCTTTCCTTTGTGGGATTAATAAAGTATTTATCAACATTTCTATTTATCTAATCTACTGTTAGCCATTCTTACTTCAATCTACATCTGTATACACTTTTATTTTTCAGTTGGAGTAATTTTGCTATGTATAATTAATAATAATAAATAAATAAAAAAAAAAAAATAAATATTTATCATTTACATTTAAGTGAATCATCTAATATTTATATTTTACTGCAAATAACCAACAATTATTTTTAATAGTTAATAACACTGAACTACATACTCCTTTCTTGCACAGTAAACAGAAATGCATGTACATTCAATATTTATTCATACGTGTCATTTTTGCCCAAGACAAACATATCCATCAAAGTTTGCATACATACAGCTTTAATTAAAATATTGACAATTAAATAGAACAACCAAATAAAAAGACCCAATGAAAGACCACAATTAGAAGGGCTGAGATAAAACGAGACAAATATATATTTTAAAACTGGACAGTTCTGTTATCATTAATATTATTTCATCACACTTAAACTAAACGGTTATATCAGAGCGCTGAACATCATGTTGCATCACAATGGAAAGAGTGCTGACTTTGAAGAATCCTATGAAGCTCCTTCAAGATGAGAAGCTTGCATAGTATGATAAATCTGATACATATTGTGCTGTATTTAATCACAGATACAGATATCCTCATTTTATAATCACCATATCATCATGTTAATAAATGTAACAGTTGGATCCGTGAAGTTCATTTATGAAAAAGTGTCTAAAACAAAAAAGTGACATTTATTACCAAATATTAGTGACATTACCAATTCCGTTATTGCTATTTCATCACGTATAGAGAACACAGATTTGTCTTGGTTGTTAGAAATGGTTTGAAGACAAAAAACAATAAAGGGAAAACATCAATTGGGAGTCAGTGCTTGATCTATTAGTTTTGCAGTGCCAAATCCTTACAAAAAGTAGCTATAACCCTTGTAGAAATTTGGTCCAGAGACCCTGTAACTGGCAAGCTCAGTGATTTAATGTGTTCTTGGCGAAAAAAGAGGCACGATCACACCCACACATACAGTTTTAACACTCTTGAACACACATTATACAGTATATCATATTAATATAACTTCATATTGGCTTGTTGGGCCCTTAAAAATGTCGTATTTTACCTGTCTGAGAACAGCACCATTAGAAAAGGCACATTCCACTAACTCGTCTGCCCAAAGGATGAATCTTCACCACCTCAACATAGTCAGAAAAATAACCTCAAGCAGCAAATACTCTAGGCTTGAGGAAAACAGTTTATCACTTTAGTTCAGACACAATTAATATGAGTTCAAGAGGGCTTGAATCATCCTGTTTTTAATCAACTAAATGGAAATGTTTGAGGCGGCACCTTCATGTCAATAAAAGCGAGAGGACTGAAGGTTCATCCCTTTGTGAACTACATAATTTCGCTCATAAATACCATAGGACAATGCAGACACTCACAAACGACTTTTTCTTCGAAAAACAAGACGAGACGAATCTACTAGTCAATAGTCTATTGCATATTAGCCCAATTTATATTAGTCACTATCATGATTAAGATCACTATTCCCATCTTTTGCTTATCTTTCATAGACTTTGTTAGCAAAAATAATTGATGTGCATTATTCAGTTCCGTTATTTAAAAATATACAAATATACTTCTCCTCTGAATTAAAAATGCTTTAAAGGTATCCGCAGTTCAGCTTTAAGCCAAGGGGTAGAGAGGGTCGCATCACAGTTTCAGTGGGAGGTGCCATTTAAGCCACACCCACCAACTCAAATAGCCCCACCTACAGGACTTTTTTAGCAATTTATTCCGTGGCAACTTCAGAAGGCTGTATAAGTGGTCATCTAAAGCCAAATATGCATACGGGTGAAGGTTCTACTAATCACTCCCCGTATTCAAGTAAGTTCAAATGCTGGTAGCGGCAGAGAAGTAACAGTCCTCAACACATCGAAACAAATGAAAAAGAGCACCGAAGCCATTTGACGTTAGCGCAAAGATTTTTTTGTCAGAACTAAACTCCAGTTAACTCGCTAAAAGTGACATTTTATTTAAACTGTTTGGATATAATATAATGTATGTGGGTTTGGTAATTCGCAAAAAAAACTCTCGAAAAATTAGCAAGCTAACCGAACATCACACTCTGAAAAAAATCCAAACAAGGCTTTTTTCACCATACATTAAAAAATGCTAAAATTTTCGCAGTAAATGCAAAGCAGACACATGATTAGCGTAGTTAACATCCCCGAATTAGAGCACCACATCTCTTAGCACCTTGGGCGTTTCGCCAAATCTGAGACCGTACAGCTTTTTAAGTGCAGCAAAATATTTGTCAGTCATTTCTCAGAATCTCTCTTGTTCTCTCTCCACATATAAAAGCAGATGTAGTTTATGTAAAATAGCAGCTACACTGGTCAACACATATTTGTGGCTATAGGGCAGAAAGACGACAGTGCCATTCACATTAAGGGTGATGTGAAAGTGTGCCAGAGGCCATGGAGTTAACAAATATAACCCTCCACCTACCCTACTGCAATCCAAACGCCTTTACTCAATACTCCCTGCTACCCCTGTTTTCCGAGGCACATCGGTTTGGTCTGTATGGGATGCAGCTGAATACACAGGGGCTGTGAACACGCAGGGGTTTGAAGTTCAAAAGAATGTTTGAAAATTCAAACAGAATGTGTGAAAATGTAAACTTGAAGTTCAAAATAAAGTTCGAAAGTTCGAAATGTAATTTAAAACCTCAAAAGAGAATGTCCAAATGTTTAAAAGAAAGTTCAAAAAGAGCTTTTGAAAGTTCAAACGTTCAAAAGAATGTCTGAGAGTTCAAAAGAAAGTCCAAAAGTTTAAAAGAAAGTTCAAAAGAAAATGACCCAGTACTTGGTTTATTCAGTTTTATATTAGTTCAACTATTCAAATTGCCCTTAACAACAAAAAGAGCTTAATAACAACCATTTCAATAGCTAAATATCTGTCCAACCTATGTAGACGCCACTTACTTTAAATATATATTTAAAAATACCCCAATAGAATTGCGTTTTAGGGATATTTCCTACAAAACAGGCACTTTGTCTCATTTGACATTTTACATGAAAGGTTTGTCCAAGACCTCCTGACAGCAAACTGATTCTTTCCCATAAAACATACCCATGAGAGTATCCATCTCCTCTGTAAACGCAACTCAGCATTCTAGCCTTAAAACACATCATCCATTTCAATTCAAGTTCTCTTACACAATGCCACATACAACAAAACGTTTTTTTTTTTGTTTGTTTTAAATTAAAGCATTCACTCATAAGGTACGGTTTGCATTGTATAATGAAAGTCTACAACAGAGCCGCCAATAATTGGCTTATTGCACTAAAAGGCTTATGGGACAGTGTTTGTCATAGTTCACAGGGCTAAAACGCGAAATAAAGAAACTGATAAGTTAAACAGATCATTTCCAGATGCGCTATTGACAAATGCAAGTTAAAAGCAACATTATAAATAAGCTCCGAGATCATAAGTCAGAATGAAATGTCTAACAGCTGTAAAGTTAATATTAATGGATGACATAGGCCTCTGAGTAGCCTTGGGTGGAATTATATGTGCACACACATCAAATGTGTTATGGTCACGCTCCGACTGATTTGAACGCTTGCGTTGTAAGTGCACTCAAAATGAATGAGGCACAGAGACAGTTGACTATGTGGAAACTTTTTGCCAACCTTTGAGTTTCAAAGTTCATCTTTTGTTAATTCTGCAGTCCTTAGCTAATCTGTCACCTCTGCTTAATGAGCGAGCCGAAGAGAAAGCCACCAGGAACAGCAAAGAAGCAATAGTTCAATGGTAGGTGCAATATTTTCCAGACAGCACATGGACTAGAAAGTTAGTGCATCACAGAGGTATATAGAATCATTTGAAAGACTGTGAAATTGGAAGAAAAGAGGTGCCTCCAATGTTCAAAAAGCAGAATAAGACATGGACACATGGAAAATGAGATGTAAAAGAACAAATATGGATTTCCGACTGGTTGGAATGAAATGGAATGATATTTCAATTGTCTTTTTTGCAGATGCTAGATAAGATTTTGCTGGAAAAGCATGATTTACTAACAAAATATCAAGAATGGTTTCAGATTAGCGCAGCAAATGTCCAGAGCAGTGATCCTCGAATCTGGCTCGCGAGATCCACTTTCCTGCAGAGTTTAGCTCCAACCCTAATCAAACAAACCTAGCTGTGATTTTCTAATGATCCTGAAGACGTTGATAAGCAAACTCAGGTGTGTTTGATTAGGGTTAGAGCTAAACTCTGCAGGAAAGTGGATCTCGCGAGCCAGATTTGAGGATCACTTGTCCAGAGGAACAGTGGAGGACCTACAGTAAGATGTAGCCAACTTTGCACTGCCCTCTAGTGGCATTCCTCCAGCAACCGACTTCATCAAACCTAAAAAAAAATCCTAATCCTAAACCAAAGGTGGTTCCAAAGATTAGTTCAAACACGCCTGCCTGACATTTTCAACTAAACCAGAAGACACTGATGTTCAACTTCATGTGTGTTTGATCAGTTGTGAAACAAAACTCTGTAAAAGGAGAAATCCAGATGAGTAGGGCTCATCAATCTGCTCCTAAAGAAATAATACTGCCTCATTCACTGATCTAGTATGAGTTCATCAAGCAAACCTTCTTAAGCTTGGTTTTGTGACCTAAATAGGCAAAATTAATAGTTAAACAGATCTACAAATCTAATAAATAATGGTATAGCTGCAATCTACATATTAAAAACAATTAGTAAGCGAAGCAGACTGGAAAGATTGGCTGTTTTTCTATTGCATAACAGTGCTAGTTCCTCCTGTAAGTTCTACATTTGGTTCTCTTTAGCAGCCTGTGATTGGGAGAAGCCCTCCTCCGCTAAGTGCACGATGACCAGCGACTGACAAGTCTGTGAAGGCAGGGCTAAGCAAAGTACATGGTCCTCAGAGTGTCGTGATGGATCTGCACAGCTTTGGCCAGGACCTGGGGGTCTCGGCCATTACTCTGGCCCGACATGTGGCTGCCTTCCGCACTGTGAAAGAGGAGAAAGAAATGAGCAGAGGCAGAAATGTACACTATGAAATACATTTTCCTTGACTTACCAGGGAGATACAAACTTACACAACATGTGCACTACCATTCAGGTTTTCAAGAAATCAATCAGCAATGATGCGTTAAATTGATCAAAGTTGACATTTATATTTATGTTTAAAAAAAGATTTCCATTTCAAACAAATATTGGTCTTTTTCCTAAAAAAATTATACCGATCCCAAACTTTTGAACAGTACATACACTGTACACAGTAGTAAAGTGCAAACATCAATATATAAAAACTGATTAAAAAGTGTTAACTTGAAACATACATAAATATAAAAAAGAAAAAAAGATCTCCTTTTTTTAACACTCAGGAGCTGTGAAGATGTGTAGATACAGTCCAATGATATAAAATACTACTTTTATATGGTATTGCAACACAAATCTGAGTCTGTTTTTTAGGCGGCAGGCTTGAATAATTCAACTTCCTGAAATCAAACCATCACTCTGAATCATTGAAATGAAGAATACTGGCTCACTGTGACACCTGCGGCAACCAAGAATATGCAAAGCCTATTCAAATCCGAATGACTGACAGCTTCCAAAAGCCTTTAATTTAAATCAAATAGAAAATTTCTACTTCTAGACACCAAGACAGCGACAATCAGGCCAGTAAATCCCTCACCTGTCGTGCTCTTTATCCACTAAATGGTAGCGGGCTCTAAAGGCCACTAGGTGGGCATAGTAGGCAGGCGCAGGGATGGAAACGGAGCGAGTACAGCGCACATATGTGTGGCACAGCTGGTAGGTCAAGAGCTGGAATTCATCGGCTGTAAAGCAGTTGTCGTCCCATAGCACATGGTAGTGTGACGGTCGGCTTGTACCCTGGGTAAAAGAGGTTAAATAATCATTTTGATGAAATGCATTATGTTCAGTTCTTCCAAATAGTGTAACTTTAAATGGATTTAATAACTCAATTAATCAATCAATTGATTTGACAGGCAATAATGCAGCAAAACAAGACTTAAAATGCACTAATACAGTTATTATGTCTGTGTGTTCATACCTGTATTCCAGCATGGCTGCACAGATAAAAGTCAAATTCGTAAGGATGGGTGATATCAGTGTCCACTGTGGTACCTGCTGGTATGTTACCACTGCGGCCCACCTTTAAAAATACGAAGAAAAGTAAGTGTGTGAGTTAAAAAAAAATTAAGAAAAAGTGAGGAAAATGTAACAAAGCTTTTAGGAGAAGTCTCTCATATTCACCCTCTCAGTGGGGTCAGCGCAGAAGAGACGAGTGTGGTGACGTTTCTGCACAACAATGTAGGTAATTCCTGGTTGATAATCCTTCTCAAGGCTGATGCAAGCTTCACGTATGGCCAACAACTCGTAGTACAGCACCTAGAAATAAACATGTAACATACAGTTCAAGAATACTACTGAATTTGGCAGGGCTGCATGATGATGGTTAAACTGATAATCATGATGATTATAGTCATTTTAGAAATGTATTTTTAGATTTCATCAGAAATCCAACTTGAATTGGTTATTTTTCCTCATCTAGTTTCCTGAAGTATTATATTTACCATATAAATTAACACATTAAAACTGTACAAAACAAGTTCTCTCAAAAGCTAAAACATAGCAAACAGCGCCTTTAACCACATGAAAAAACAGACTGGCTGTATTACACTTTCATTTAAGAAAAATATCGCAGTGGAGATTGCTCCAAACTTACATTTTTGATAACTCCAACTTATATTTTTGTTAGTGTTTTCAGCTCATCGGCACTTTTTTTCTTAAAGCAAAGAAATGTGGGCATGGTTAAAAGGTTGGGAAGAAAATGTATCCATTTAGGAGAAAAGCTCCGATTGGGGGATTTTAAACTCTTCAGATCTGGCAACTGCACTCATTAAAACTTGTGGAGTTTTGTTACCATTGCAAGATAATGCAAACGGTTAAATGAAAATGAAACATTTTCATGATATATAACCAGCTGGCAAATATCAAAGACAATTATGCTTAATCAAGAGAAATCACAATAAATCGGGATCATGATTAAAATACATTTAAGCATCTCATGAGACTCTTTCGACCACATGCAGTGGAGGCTAAGGGAAGAGAGGGGGCGCTAGAGAGCCTCACCTGTCTGAACTGTCCCTCAGACACACCGTCCCTGTAGAAGATAATTCTGGTGGGTTTGTAGTGGGTGGACTTGTAGAACTGGATGAGCAGCTCTCGCACCATGGACGCCAGGTCCTGAATCACCTCCTGTCTGGGCCTCTGAACACGGACGGTAGCGCAGTACCTGCTGGGGTGAGCGTCCATGCTGCCCACCACCTGTTCAGCAACAAATTTGAAGTGAGGAGAAGCAGAAAAACAGTATTTCTTTGAAATATCCACAGTCAACGTAACAGTCTAACTTTCAGGTCCATAATGAGGATATGATTTCAGGGTTTGCAAATTATTTTTTTTCCTTCACAAATGTGCATGATGTGATTAAATTGTAAAGAATATGACAAAAAAGGTGTGTATATGTGGTCTGTCTTTCTCACAGCTGCAATGGAGGGTTTCTTTCCATCTCCTGCGGGTGGATGAGTTACATCAGCTCCCAGAAAAATGACAGGCTGCTGGAATACAGATGGGCTGAAAATCAAACAACATAAATACACATAAACAAGGTGTTTGGCACATTTAGGGGCATTTTGTCTTAAACAATGAAACCAAGTTTTCAGTGTAAATGGATTAATTTTATTCTCTTACCGCTGATGGGGTACCAGTATGTTGTTGATGCCACCCAGTTTGACGTTGATCTTGAGACAGAGGTTGGAGAGGGTCTGAGGGGAGGTTTTCACCACGTTCTTCACCTGAACGCACTGAGTGGCCATTCCCAGAAGAGTGTCTCCAACACGTTTCACTTCAGCTAGAGAAAGAGAGCGCAGACTTCAGTGCAACAGTGAGGAGCTCAAAGAATATATCATGTGGGAGCCGAACTACATCCAGACTTAATGACCAAATAAACATCTGTCCATAAATAGTTACCATAGACAGGAGTTTTCCCAGGCAATATGACAATGATGAGTTGGAGGCCAGCGTAGGTGTTTTTCAGGTGGCGGAACATGGGCTCCACATTATCGGCTCCCTGAGCGTATTTGCAGAAACATGGCTGGCCCTGTATGGGCATCCCTGCATCCTTAGAGATCTTCCGCAGCTGGTCTGTAAAGCCCCTGCAAAAAGACAGGAGAGACACTTCAGTATTTCTTTTTTTAATTCCATTAATAAATGGTGATTTGTTAAAGACAAAAAGATGTAAAAAGCTTTACTTGAGAACTTCCTCTCTGCATTGTCTCTGAGTGGCAAAGCAGGCAATGGCCCACATCTTGATCTCCACACCAGTATGAAACTGCTTGCCTCTCATATCCCACACTCCATGACTTGGGGTGGCTACTGTACGATTCTGTAACACATGGATACAAAGGTTGTCTTGACTTGTTGAGATCAAATAGTATATGAACTCAAACAGTACACGGTGTTAAACATTTGGCCAAACCTACAGTATATGTACTTTTATACAGCTGTTACAATGAAAAACATCAAAGTTCTCACTTTGGGAGCTCTACAAATACTCCACAATGTCTAATTTATGTCTTTAATATGGCTTTCAAACTAGTTAAGTTTGTGCTCAAAAAAAGTAATCATCATTTACTCAAACTGTTGACATTCCAAACTGTTTGAATTTCCTTTCTACTGTGGAACACAAAAAAGGACTGTCAAGCTCAAAAAACCCAAAAAAACACCATAAAACAACATAAAACTAGTCTATACAACCATATTTTAAGTCTTCTAATGCTGTACACATCTTGCTTGACAATCATAATCATTGTTCACTTCTACTGCATGGAAACATGCAGCTTAGACATTCTGCTACAAATTTCTCCTTTTGTGTTTCACAGCAGTAATTCATACAGGTTTGGAATGACATGAGGATGAAGAAAATAATGACTTTCCATTTTTTACTTTTTAATTATATTTTTTGGTGAATAATCCCTTTTAAAAAACCAAACAAATTAAACAGTTGTAAGAAAACAATAACAATAATAAAAAAAATCACATTAAATGCTTCATTAAAAGCCCTATAAATAGCCACACATATTCACAATTTAACAAAAAAAATGCAAATGCAAAACAATGGTATAAAAGATATAAAAAGCCAAGCAATTACACACAAGCAACAAACCTCATTATATAAAATTAACACAGCAACTCCTCCCACATCAAAGTCTCTTTAAGGGTATTCTATAGTCTTTGTCCCACATGTAGACATTAAAGTGCCCCTATTATGGATTTTTAAAAATGACCTTTCATGCAGTGTGTAACACAGCTCTAAGTGAATGAAAACATCCTGCAAAGTTTTAAATCTGAAAGTGCACCGTGTATAAAGTTATTGTCTCTCAAAAGAAAGAGTCGACTCTGAATCAATTAAAAGACTCGTTTTTAAAACGAATCCCAAGCCGTTTCATGTTGACGTCAACATGAAACATTAGCATATTGCCCGCCCACTTGTTGGTCTTTTCGCATTGGTGAATGAAAATGCAAATTTATTCTTTGCCACTAGGTGCTGCTTTTGGAGCATAAAAATATCTTTTTCCCCGGTAACGGCTGTACACAAAGCATCACTGCACTCACAAACACTGCTTTATCAGGCATTACAGGCATGATGAAATGAAAATGAGACCAATCGGACCAAGCACCACAGATTAGCGTCACACAAAGGAGGGGTGTGGAAAAATGAATCATTGAGCGAATCGTTTGGGAGTTGTTAAGCAAGTAAGGTAAAAAATAAATGCATATTATAAGACAATTAAAGTGTTTTTTGACCTTGCATGCATGCCAACCTGTTGTTGGGGACTCCCAAAACCAAAATATGAACCTTTCATAACCCATAACCCAGCACTTTAAAATTAGCACACATTAATTATAATTATAAATGTTAAATCAAGCCTCAAACCATGACCAATTTCTAGCCTTCTACTCAAACACAGACACAGACACACATACAGTGCATGAGTGAAAGGGAATGGGTACCATAAAGTGTTCAGAGCTCACCCTGCCGCCGTACTGCAGCATAGGGGCAGGCAGGACACGACCCGTCACCTCCGCCATCTCATCCCGCACACGGAACTGAAACTCCTGCACGAAGGGGTCCGAGTTGTAGTTGGCACTGCGCACCTATGTTTTCAGAAAGATTGAGAGTTGAGACTGATTGAAAATCCTTGTGACAGTTTTGGTTTTTGCCTGGATACTATGAAGAATTACTATGATACCAACATTTTGGTAGTCTACATGAAGAATTAGGCCTACTGCAGCATCAGGCAGCAACACACTGAACTCACCAGTCTGCTGATCTCCTCTTGTCTGTCCGGTGCCGAGCGGGCCGTGGCTTTGATCATGGTGGAGGTTTGGTTGTCTGTTAATTTTTTAATGCAGCGCTGGCCTACCACAATGTTGCACACCTGAGTGATAGAGAGGACGGTCAATTTTGGCACCATTAAAATGAATCGAGACATCTGAAAAGCTTCTCAAAGTGTCTAGACGTGAATCCATAAATCAGTGAAGAAATGGTGGCTGTGGAAAGAAATGGTAGCTAATGTAATTGATCAAATATCTAGACTCTTACCTCTAAAGGCAGGTATGTGTGCTTCTGCTCTTGCCCTACTTGCAGGCAGGGCAGATGGGGGTACTTGAGCTGTAAGTTGTACTTTTCCCTGAAGTATTGTGCCACTGTTCTCTCCACAGTCTGTCCATTTTCCAACTGTAATGGAAACCTGACATAGCAAAACAAAAATTCAAAGAAAGTTAATGGAGAGCTGGGGTGACTAGCTTTAAACAAAAAGGTATGAAAAAATTCTAAAATGTTCTTATCAGTTTTTGCTCTTTAGAGGAATAGTTCACCCAAAAATTTAAATCTGCTGAAAATTACACATGCTCGGCCCATTTAAGATGTATATGAGTTTGTTTGTTCATCTGAACAGATGTGGAGAAATTTAGCATTACATCACTTGCTCTCCAATGGATCCTCTGCAGTGAACAGGTGCCGTCACCACTGTGAGCAAGTGATGTAATGCTTCAATATAACAAAAAGGACAGTAAAATATTTCATCTTTTTGACACAGTACAGACTTATTGGCCTGCTAACTGAGAGACAATCAAACCTCACATTATCATAAGAAATATACAAAACAATGCATATTCAATACACTTACGTCTGGTGGCTGGATGGCCGGCGAGTAACATTACACACCCTGTACTTCCTCCGCATGGTGCCACAGTGGGTGACCTCCACCTTTAGACCTGATGGGAGGAGAAGATCGAATTTACACCACTATACAGATGCAACTGGTAAGTTTACAGCTCAGAGTATTTTGACTATTAAATACAGTACAGGTAAATATTATGTTTCAATCCCAGTTGCAAATTTAATTTATGCAAAAATTAAAGAAGTAATGTGTAAATAAAGCAGAATTTCCTTTCCATGTTTCTCCTAAACAAAATTGTCACTTACATCCGTCACTCGCATCTTTGAGTTTCCATCCAGGTTTTTTTTTTATTTTTTATGTTATCCCAAAATGTGCATAAAAATATGTGGATAGAAACCTGGCTACTGATCTATAGCATTTACCATTCATGCATTTAAAAACTTTTTTTTTTTTTTTACGAAGCCTGCATTTTTTTGATCAAACAATTCAGTAAAAACAGTAATATTATGAAATATTGTTACAATTTCAAACAACTGTATTTTATTTTAAAATTTCATTTATTCCTGTGATGGCAAAGCTGAATTTTCACTATGATGTTTATTCAGGATTCTTTGATGAATAGAAATTACTCCATTCTTCCATTCGCACAAACCTTTGATCTCTTTGGTGAATTTGACTCTATGGGAATCAGTAAGAGGTCGAGGTTGCTCATCAATGTTGTGGATATCCAGAACCTCACACATGAACTGAATCATAGGTTGAGCTTTGTAGAATGCAGTGGCAGACACTGTGGAGAAAATAAAACATGGTCAATGTTACACGATTAGTTAATAAAATAGTTAACAAGTCATTTGCAGGTTAAATCCCCCCAAATATAAACACAACGATGCTTTTAAAAGTGGGACTACTAAATGAAAGAATGTCAATAATGGCATTATTATTTTGGATCTTTTTCTTTTATAACCACTGAACTACTAGAACCACTGTCCAGATCAAGTAACTGGATAATTCAGACCAAAATGGTTTGACCTATCATAACACTCTGACTTACCATCAATGTTCAACATCATTTTCCACATAGCTGGATGCACTGATTGGTGGAAGCCAAACCACACCTCCCTCCCCCCACCCAGTGGGTGATCATAGCCCTCGGGGGAAGAGAAAAAGGATCGTCCCACTGGGGTGTACCTGAAGTGAGAGAAGACAAACACAGTCGTTACCTGCAGAATAAACATGTGCACTCCTAAATTATCCTTATCCAACCGCTTACTGTTTATGCTACACTAATCTACAACAAAACACTTTCAGTCTCATTTTACAAGTTATGCACTGTATCGTTAAAGGCATAACAATCACTTAATGCTTTTCTAATTGTATTAAATGCCCTTTATGATCAGGTAACAGTACTCATGGGAACTCTTACTTCATAGAGGGCAGATGGCGCATAACAACATCTACAGCGTGTACGGGATTGGTGCTGATGGGCTTATCCAGGTTCAGAGGATCAGGTGTGCTCCTCCCAGTGAGGACCTCATGCAGCAAGTGCCAACTGACCAGTGACACAAACTTAATGGTGACCTTAAACAGCCTGTCCTTCCCACCTTCACCTGGCAAGGTCACATCCAGGTCCACCTTCAAATAATATACAAATGTACAGTATAATATTTAACACAAATTTACAAATGCGTTTTATTTATGATCATGAAAAATTTAATGTATTAATGTATTAAAAAATGTGTTTATATTTGATATCATATTTTTATAAAAATGTGCAAATACAGTAAGGCTGCACAAAAAATACTGCCTTTTAATTTAGTTCATTAAAATGAAATAAAATGTTAATACAGCACAATTCATTTATAAAATTATTTTAATTAATTAGCTTTTTTACATGCATTTTTCCATTTTTTGATTGTATAGAATTAAATGACATTCTATTTTCCTGATTTGTGTCAATACTTTAACATCCAAGTACAGTCATTTGTTTTCGTTACTCAAAAAGAAAAGAAAAACATGAAGTGAGTCTTGATCTGGTAGCTTATCTTGCGCTTAGTCATAGCCAATACAGCATCATCTTTTCTAGATTTAGGCAAAATGTATTAAATGAAAGAAAAAACTGTCAACGCTTTAAAGACACTAAAGTATTTTTTCAAGATATTTAAAAATGTTTGCTGCATCATTTAAAAAATTTTTGAGAGGAAAAAAACAGTAGGCTGTACGCCGCATTTTAATATTAGCCTACATTCAGAAATAATGTAGGCTAAAATACCGGTAAATAAAGCAAAATGTTTACAAACATTATAAACACAGCTAGGCTATTTTAGTTCCCTTCTCTCCACAACAAATCCTCTAAAGTTAACAGCATTTATGCTAAATATAAACGGATTATGAACAGGCTGCGATGTCAAGGTAGCAAAAATATGTTGTGTGTGCGCGTGAGGCTCCGGTGCAATCACAGCATTGTTTTCCCATCTGTTATTCCGTAATTTATGGTCATACCAAAGCTACAGATGCAAGACATCATTCAAAACTGTAAAGATTTAGCAAAATAAAGAAAACTGAAAAATAAAGAAAACTGTCAAAACTTTTGCTAAATATAGAAAACGGCTTTCTGCCATCTCGGTTTCCTTTCCGTGAACATTGGAGCATGTGACGCGTCACAATGAACTGAAACTCAGCACATTTTTTCCTTTCATTTTGTTAATCTGTTAATGATTTAAGTTAGGGCTGCACGATAAATCGCAATGGCGATAAATCGCGATAAGGCAGAGGCTGCGATTGTCATGCGAATCTTTCAGTGAAGCACGGCTCTGTGATCAGTAGTAAATCTCCATCCGAAGGCCAGAGGGCGCTCTCGCGCGGAAACTCCAAATACGCCCCGCAGAAGAAACCCAGGAAATGCCTATAGCGGTTGCTGAATAAACAGAAGATTTAACTGCTTTCATTGATTCAACGTGACTAATAAACACAAGACTATGACAATATATGATTTATCGGAGTTCTTCTTATAATTATTATTATAATTTTTTATTATAATAAAGTATATAATAATTCAATGCTAATCAACATAGCCTTTATCACTGCTTAGAATTCTATGAAATATTTTGCGTGTCTTATTTATGTTTAAGAAGCCACATCATCTCACAGAAGGATTTATTTCAAACACTCGACTGACGTTATGAAGTGAGTTTGGAGTAAAAACATGTTATTAAATGTGGTATTTTCACGTGCTTTTAGATGGAGCAGCATTTAAACAGTTTTCATTATCGCAGACGATATCTTCGATTTCATTATCGCGTGATTAAATCGTCTGCGATAATGAATGCGATATTGTATAGCTTGTCAGTGAACTACGGCTCTGTGTTGTAAATGCTGCTCCATCTGAAAGCACGCGATGGAGATTTACTACTAATCACAGAACCGGCTTTACTGACAAGTTGCGCATTACAATCGCATTCGCAACAAGATGTGACCTTGTTGAATCCGTGTTCTATACTATCCTGCAATTTTTGCTGGTTTTAATACACACAATAAGCTGTATTACCTGCCATACATTTTCACTTAAATGTAGGCCTAATGTGTGGTGTTTCCTCGGTTAAACTTACGCCAGGGCACTGCCATTGCGATTTATCTATGATGAATTTACAGCTGAGCGCAGGCATTTCACTCATTGGATGCTTCAACGTCACATTTGCATAGGCTACTTAAATTTGTGATTGGTGATTGGTTGACTGCAAAATTCAAATATTAAATGGAATGATAAAATAATGTTATTAACCGGTTAATGGCCATTTCAAATTTTCGATTCTGTTCAGAACTCTTAAATTTGATTTTGTTTCTATTTCTGGTTATCGTTTTTTTTGTATCGTAATTTCGTTCATTTCCGGTTTTTGTTTTCGTTCCTTGAACCGGTTCAGAGCCCTGCTTTCCACTTTCCACCACTCCTGGTGTCCATTTATATGTCTTACCCCCCCTGTGGCCACTGGCAACGGTTGTGCGGTGTAGAGGCTTTTCTTGCCATCATAGACTGGCCGTCTGTCCCCAAAGATTGTCACCTTAAAGTGCTGCACCATGGAATTCACCACCTCCCTAGAAGCCATTACAGAAAGGGTCATAACAGTGGTTATCGTAGGTTTAAAGGAATAGTTCACCCAAAAATGAAAACTTGCTTGTAATTTACTCAACCTCAGGCCATCCAAGACATAAATGAGTTTCTTTTTTCTTCATTGGATCAGATTGAGAAATTTAGCATTATTTCACTTGCTCACCAATGGATTCTCTGCAGTGAATGGGTGCCGTTAGAATGAGAGTCCAAACAGCTGATAAAAACATCACAATAATCCACGAAACATGACTTCAGTCCATCAGTTAACACCTTATGAAGTGAAAAGTTGCGTGTTTGTAGGAACAAAAATTTAAACCATCTCTTCTGGACAAAATACCAATAATAATCTATAACCTGCTTCCTCCAGGGAAGCAAGTCCATCCCCCATTGTCCTCTTACATCAAAACCCATTGACATAATTGTTTAGAACTGTTTTGGACTGTTTTCACCTGTAAACATTGCTTGATCTGTGCATATTTCTCTCCTGATTCAGATGAGACGAATGGAGAAAGCAACATTATAGATCGAGGACTCATATTTTAGCTGAAGCAATGGTTTGAAATTGTCTACACACATCTACACACATGCTGCTTTTAACTTCACAAAACGTTAATTGATTGACTGGATGACCAGAATTGGTCATTCTGACGGCACCCATTCACTGCAGAGGATCCACTGGTGAGAAAGTGATGTAATGCTGAATTTATTAAAAAACAGTTAAACAGTTCTAATGAAGAACCAATTTTGTCTATTTTATTTTCAATTTGACTAAATAGACTGATTAATGAACAAGTCTCTTGTGAACGTAATGGTCAAAACAAAATAAGTGTCACAAACTATATCAATTATTATTACTGCTCAGTGTTTGGCACCTGTTAACACGACGTGGGCACTTTTCGGGATTGATGTCCACATCATACAGGTAGACGTCCATTTTGGGGATGTCCACCTGGAAGCAGTTGGCCAGCAGCTTGATGGGCTTCCCCATGGTGCCATAGCCTGGCCTCCGAGGTACGGAGAACAGGGGCGCAGCCCCAACGGCTCCTGTCATGAAAATCAGAGGGGATTTCCATCCATATGAGTTTTTTTCAAAATGTACATTAGACTTTCAAAATCAGTTATTACCACTAAACTGAAAATAAAAAACACAAAAATATGACATGTAACATCAAATAGCCAACACTGTCATGGTGCCATCATAATAATCATGAAATTAAAGCCAAATCAACCTGCATACAGTCATAAAGGCGTTATTTCTCATGTGTCAATATTGACATTTCATGGAAACATGACTAATATCTAAATTAATAATAATAAATATCTCGTTCTTGACACTGACATATACACAGTGGGTGTTATTTGTCACTTATCAGGAAATTTCCTCTAAATGCCTACTCAGTGGAAACAACATAACACTCAGAATCAACCACACACAATACCAATAACCCACACCATTCATACATGCACTATTGTATACCTGTGAAAAAATAAAACAAATACACTGTCACCTAAGACTTCTAAAGAAAGATTGCAATCAATTTGACTTGACTATTCAAAAGCACACTTTTTCATATACTCAAAAAGTGTGCATTTCATATACTCAGTGTAGTCAAATAAAATGCTTATTTTTTGAGAACATCAAGAAACAGAATGTTTTGTTTGTTAAACCTGTTGCATTTTCTCCCGGTTCCATTTTTATAAGATGATTTAACAACTCCATGTAATAACTCAAAGGATAGTTCACTCAAAAAATGTAAGTTCTGTCATCGATTACACAGATATTTTGAAGAATTTTCCACACTAAAAGTCAATGGCTACAGTCAACTGTTTGGAAACCAATAATCTTCAAATATATCTTCTTTTGTGTAAATGTCATGACAGACATTTTTGGGTGAACTATCCCTTTAAAGACTTCAACCAGATGTCAAGTTTAAGTCATTTTAAGTTACATACATTTTACAACACTGAAAGTTTTAAGATGACTGGGATCTGGGTTCAAAGACATTAAGAGTTCTTTAACTATAATTTCAGATGACCAAATCAACACGTCCAAATGAAAACTGTTTTGGCAGAATCAGCATTTGTTGATATGGCTGTAAAATAATAATAATAATAATGACTAAATAAAATCTAAATAAGAACTATTAATATTGTAATATTTCACTGTAATAAAAAATTGAGCATTTAAAAAATTATAAAATTACTTGTTTGGTTATCATACAGTACGCAGTTTGTTCATGTAGGGTAGGGATTAAAAAACTAAAATAGTATGGGGGGGGGCATGGGGGCCCATCAGGACTGCCTATGCATACGGCCCGGGATCTTGTGCAACGCCCCTGCAGAGATCTATTAGTTCATGTGAAGCAGCATTGACTGTGAACCGAAGAACTCTGCTGCAAACACCAGCGGATAGCGAGCTGCTCACGTGTAAGAACACAATGCTGTGCTTCATATTTTATTTACTTAATCAAATCACAGCCTACACGATTTGATAATCACACTAAGCAGTATCATGATTTCGGTTTTTATTTCGATGAATCATGCAGGCTTATCTTGGAGACAGGGCAGGTTGCTTTAAAGGAGATGAGTGTCTACCCCTCTTTACAGGCCCCAGGAAAACGTTACTTAGCCCTATGTTGAGTAAATAACAACCTTTCGGCATTGCCATTTAAATCTGCTTTAGATGTTGCCTTTCATGTTGAGCCTTTGTCATCCTTTTCAATTTTCTTTCACTCTGAATATCAGCTCTCTGACATCACTTTTCTCGCACTGAGTGGCATACTACATTATCACATCATGTCACAGAAGGCGAGACTGTTATTGCTGTTGTAAAGATGCTTTAGAGGGGGTTTACAGAGCGAAACTGTTACTGAGAGGTGTGTAAGGGGAATTCGACTGAAACTGCTTCTTACACTTCCCAGTGTGCCGTTGCTATGCAACCAAGACTACACTAACAACCAATTAAAGGAAGAACAGCTGTTTCTATATATAGACACAGGTACAATTGATCTTGTAGGTCACACATGAGCATTTACTCTACAGTGTTCATACAGAAATCTCACAATGAAACACTTGACTGTACTGGTCACACACTTTCAGGTTAACATGAGTCCACTTTTCTCACTTTATTTGAAACCTAGCAGTTTCTTGACATGAACGAGCACCGATTTGCCTCCGATGTCGGGCATTTGTCGACGATTTTGCAAAACCTGTCGGCGAGTGAAAAATCGGGCTAAAATCGTGCAGTGTGAACTCGGCATAATGCTCACTTAACTGGCAAATAGGTGACTGGAACGTTTACAAGGGTTTCACTCATTCAGGGACTGAGACACCTCTCCTTTCATTTAATTTTTTAAAGCTAGTCAGGCAAAAGAATTTAAAGTTGTCTGATACTCATTTAGACAGACAGTTTTGCACTATATATGGGCTTCTATTAATGACAGATGGATATATTCTCAAATGTGGCTAAAATAATGTGTATCAATACGGGCATTGTTAAATTGTCAGCATTGATAATTACTTTCCCTGATTCGCTGATTAACAGAAGTGGTCATTCTGCCTAGTGTCAGGTACAAAATCTACAGGTAAGCTGGTTATATAATGTTGTCGATATTTATGTAAAATATGTTTAGATTTAAAATGTAACTTGAGCAATTAAAAAGATCTGTATTATACTGTATACCAGGGGTGCCCAATCCTGCTCCTGGTGATAGACTGTTCTGCAAAGTTCAGCTCCAACCCTAATCAGTAATCACACACACCTGAAGCAACTAATGCCGAGTTCACACTGCACGATTTTCAAATTCGTCGGATCGCCGTTGTTTTCACACTGCGTGACTATCTGGGGTAGCATTCAGTTGCTGTTGTGTTCACATTGCAGATGGATCGGGGACAGGAGGTTACACACTGCATGACTTCACAGCTCTGTCTGGTCCGCAAACTACGTTTCACAACAAAACACACGCGAGAAGTGATAAGGAAATAACGCGAGAACCCACGTGCGTCAGACCGGAGTGGAAGAATCGCCGACAGCTCTGTCTGGTCCGCAAACTACGTTTCACAACAAAACACACGCGAGAAGTGATAAGGAAATAACGCGAGAACCCACGTGCGTCAGACCGGAGTACTCGAGCAAGACTGTAATTATTAAAAAAAGATATATATAGCCCGCGAATTGTCTGTGAGCTGATTTCCAGCTACAAGGAGAAAAAGAAAAACAGATTATGCAGGAGGGAGATGCAGGGAACAGGGATTGGGTGTTCTGAAAAGAGAGTTGGAGGTAAATAATTTTGCAGTAACTGTTATGCTGATGTTGTGGCTGTTGTTT